GACCCAGATAATTCTGCAACCAGGTAGGTAATCTTTAATTTCAGACAGAGCTTAGGAAAAAAATTACTAGTTGCGGGGGTCAAATTTTGGGTTAAAAATAGCAATTTTTGGCATTTTTTGGTAATTTTTGATGTGGTAACCATGGTTTTCACACAAGTGACATACATAGAAAAAAGAGGTTTATACACTTCTCAGTACTTTATATGTATTGTAAATGTAATGCAGTTTACAAATATATATACATGTATACATGTGTTGTGTAGGGTAAATCTGCTGTGTTTACATTTCCTCGACATGTGCCTTGTTTATCAGAGTCTGGCCATTTCTACTGTATACTGCTACCTTTGTTTAATTTTCATTGGAAATAATTCAATTTGGGTTATCGTTATCAGTATTGGGTAGCAGTTTGATGGTATGCACATATGAGCCCTGACTGACCCCCCGGGGCTGATGGGAGGGGCCGAAAAGGGTCGAATTGACTGAAATTTCAAAAATCTTCTTCTCAAGACCCAGATATGGTAGAATCAAACACTCTTCATAGATAGAAGGGTCTTAAGGTGCTCTACCAAAATTGTGAATTTTATGACTCTGGGGTCTCACGTTTACCCCTGGGGAGGGGATAAACTTTACTATAGTTTATATAGGGAAATCACATTTTGGACCAATTTTTGTTTAATTTTCATTGGAAGTAATTCAATTTAGGTTATCATTATCAGTATTGGGTAGCAGTTTGATGGTATGCACATATATATGAGCCCTGACTGACCCCCGGGGCTGATGGGTGGGGTTAAAAAGGGTTGAATTGACTGAAATTTCAAAAATCTTCTTCTCAAAGACCCAGATATGGTAGAATCAAACACTCTTCATAGATGGAAGGGTCTTAAGATTTATGACCCTAGGGTCTCACGTTTACCCCCTGGGGAAGGAGGGGGGGGGGGGGGGGGCAAACTTTATTATGGTTTATAATGGCAAATGATACTTTGAATATTACATGTTAATAACTTGATTGGAATTATAACCCTGAGTTGACAGTTCTCTACTTTGAAAAAGTATACAGTAGAAATGGCCAGACTCTGATAAACAAGGCACATGTTGAGGAAATGTAAACACAGCAGATTTACCCTACACAACACATGTATACATGTATATATATTTGTAAACTGCATTACATTTACAATACATATAAAGTACTGAGAAGTGTATAAACCTCTTTTTTCTATGTATGTCACTTGTGTGAAAACCATGGTTACCACATCAAAAATTACCAAAAAATGCCAAAAATTGCTATTTTTAACCCAAAATTTGACCCCCGCAACTAGTAATTTTTTTCCTAAGCTCTGTCTGAAATTAAAGATTACCTACCTGGTTGCAGAATTATCTGGGTCCCAGTAAANTGAAGAGTATTTGATTCTACCATATCTGGGTCTTGAGGAGAAGATTTTTGAAATTTCAGTCAATTTGACCCTTTTTGGCCCCGCCCCTCAGGCCCCTGGGGGCCGGGGACCAAACCGGCATCTATTTTTGTTGACCTTTGGCCATGGAAGGTTTCTGCAAAATTTCATTGAAATTGGTTCAGGGGTTTTGGAGAAGAAAATGTAAATTGTTTACGGACGCACGACGTACGACGGACAAAAGGCGATCGCAATAGGTCACTTGAGACTTTGTCTCAGGTGACCTAAAAATTATGAGTGCAAAAAATCCCCAAACCTTATACTGAAGTCATCAAAAGATGTAAAATATTAGTATAGACTTCATAGCATATAATAGATAGACAGATAGAAGGAAAACACATAAAGGATAGAGAAAAGGATGAACGCTACATCAAGGATAGATTGGTTTAGTTTGGTTTACAGGGTTTAAAAATAATGGTCATTTAAGGACATTCGTCCATGTATGCAATGTATGTGTGCATACTGGATGCAGTATGTTGGTGTATTTAATGTTGCCTCTTTGTGATATCGCAGATCTGATGCCAACTTAAAGAGTGCTACCTCACTGCAGTACCATGCGAAAAACATACCTAGCACAGTATTCCACCTATTGTCATACTGACAAGTAATTGGGATTACCCTAAATGCTGAACGTTTAGCATGGAATAAAAGCTTCCATAAAGGGCTTTGGTTTGTCCTAATTAAGGACAGAGGGAATGATGGATGGTTTAATGAAAATATCAAGACTGATGGACAGTAAATTGCCATTTTAATAGCTTCCATGCCGAAAAGTTACGCTTTCGTAAAAATAAACAAAATATAACAGATGTTTATTTGTTCGTAAGGTTTATTATACCTAACCGATTATAAGTCTACCATTAAATATGAAGTGTGTATGATTTGATTGATGAACAATGGTGTCATGACAGTTGCAAAAGTTTAAAACAGTAAAAAAGGGTATACACACTCAATAATACAAGAACGTTTTGCAATCTCTAATTAAATCACAAAACATGTTTAGTCACTTACTTCACAACCAGTTGCAAGGGCAGCAGCTTCGATACAGTTGGTGACCTTTGATATGAGGATCTTGTGTTCTGGCTCTGTTGGAGTTCGGAGATAATACTGTAACTCGGTTTCCTCTGGGATGATGTTGGGCTGGAGACCTCCTTTACTTATCACACCTTCAATGTGTGTAAAACAGTATGGCCATAATATAAACAAACCACACCTACAATGTGTGTAAAACAGTATGGCCATAATATAAACAAACCACATGTTTAGGACATGTGTAATACATGTAGTGTGGATTCAGTTTAACAAGAGTACATGATGTGTGAAAAATCAAAACTTTGAGAAAGATTTTTTTTCAAGCTTTCTTTCTCTCTGTTAATCAATATACAAAATGTAATGTATGTTATGTTTGTATTGGTTTATTGTATAATCTACCATTTAAACTAGACTATACCCCAATAAGGTACAGTAGAACCACAATAGACTGACCTTTGTTTCCCTTCTACTTCCCCCGCCAACACATCTCAAGGTTCACTTTCCTCTTTTCTTAAATATTCTTTTATATTTTCCCTGTATCACAACACAATAGTTTGACTCGACTCTACATCACAAATAAATTTTGAAGACAAGCTCTAGAAAATCTCAACTCTGTTAATTAATTTAAAATTACTCATAGAAGAAATTCAAAATTCATCACCATGGAAACGTGGAAATGTGCCAAGAGGAGACAATTTACCATGGAAATGTGGAAATGTGCCAAGAGGAGACAATTTACCATGAACACGCCAGGTAGGTTTCATCTGTTGTCGTAGACATGAGATATTGTTGTAGCAAAGAACAGCTGCGTCCAGAGCGTTGACGCCCTCCCAGGGGTAGGAGGAGGCGTGGGCTGCCTGGCCCCGGTACGTTATCGTCACACTACAGGAAATGGTCATTAGAACTACAGTTACTATTGTCACTGTGCAGTATGAAACCTGTCTAATCCAAACATACATGTTGGCTCATACTCCCCTTCCTAAAAGACAGGTTACTATAAGAGTATACAGAGAGATATTAATTGCACAGTCATTTAGTTTGAGTCCTGGCTTATACAGTATCTGGGAAATTTTACCAGGTCCACTTTCCATAGGTTATATCATTTTTCTTTCAAACATTTTAATATTTAATGATTTCATCATTGGATAGGAAAGATCACATCTATACTGAACATTTTTCTGAAATTATTTCTCCCCATTTCCCAGAACCCTATATTTACAAAGTGCATTTCAATACAAAATTAAACCAGGTAACCTCAAATCAGAATACAGTTAAATGCAAATAAAACGTGTCATTCAAAATGTCACATTTGATATTTTACCAAAATCATCCTCTTCAAGATAGCTACTTACCATAGTTTATAATGTTAATAATCCTGAGAATTGAATCAAATTCTACTCAATATTTCTCTGAGATTTTCCTGACTCTTCAAACAAATCTTATGAGGAGCTTAAGTTGTACAGCACTTGCAATTCTTTAATGTTAACTCACGGAGTCATGGAGACATAGTTTGGTTTCGACACTGTAAATTGGGATGGGTGGGCCATCATTGCAGCATCAACTCCATCAAAGGCCCCGCCCTTGATCAGATCATGCTTACCACACAGACCCTCCTCTGCTGGAGTACCAAGCACTGTTAACTGTTAACAAACAATAATATATAAGTACTGCCTATCCTCCCTCTGCTGGACTACCAAGGACTGTTAATTCAAAAAATATGAATAAGAAGTCTTCCTCCAATAGTTTCAACCACTGCCTCCTCCAATGCAGGGGAATCAAGCACTGTAAATAATAAGATAATATTCTCCTCCCAGTTTCAAGCACTGCCAATTATCAACATACCTACAGCAGATATATACACAGACCCTCCTCCTGGGGTATCAATTATATATGTTTGTAATGTAAACTGTAAAAAATATATGTACAGTCATAAAAGCAATGCCTCCCCCAGACTAATCAAGCACTGTTGTCTATAAACATCTACTTATTGCCTCCTCCCACTCAGGAATCAAGCACTGTCGGCTATAAACATCTACTTATTGCCTCCTACCACTCAGGAATCAAGCACTGTCATCTATAAATATCTACTTATTGCCTCCTCCCACTCAGGAACCAAGCACTGTCAACCTGTATATATCTACTTATTGCCTCCTCCCACTCAGGAACCAAGCACTGTCACATGTAAATATCTACTTATTGCCTCCTCCCACTCAGGAACCAAGCACTGTCACATGTAAATATCTACTTATTGCCTCCTTTTACTTGGGAACCAAGCACTGTCGTCTATAAATATCTACTTATTGCCTCCTCCCACTCAGGAACCAAGCACTGTCACCTGTAAATATCTACTTTTTGCCTCCTTTTACTTGGGAACCAATCACTTTCACCTATAAATATCTACTTATTGCCTCCTTTTACTTGGGAACCCAGCATTGTCGTCTATAAATATCTACTTATTGCCTCCTTTTACTTGGGAACCAATCGCTGTCACCTGTAAATATCTACTTATTGCCTCCTCCCACTCAGGAACCAAGCACTGCCACCTGTAAATATCTACTTATTGCCTCCTTTTACTTGGGAACCCAGCATTGTCGTCTTTAAACATCTACTTATTGCCTCCTTTTACTTGGGAACCAATCGCTGTCACCTGTAAATATCTACTTATTGCCTCCTCCCACTCAGGAACCAAGCACTGCCACCTGTAAATATCTACTTATTGCCTCCTTTTACTTGGGAACCAAGCACTGTCGTCTTTAAACATCTACTTATTGCCTCCTTTTACTTGGGAACCAATCGCTGTCACCTGTAAATATCTACTTATTGCCTCCTCCCACTCAGTTACCAAGCACTGTCATCTATAAATATCTACTTATTGCCTCCTCCCACTCAGGAACCAATCACTGTCACCTGTAAATATCTACTTATTGCCTCCTCCCACTCAGAAATCAAGCATTGTCATCTATTACTTGATTATTTAAAAAAAAAGGAAAGCATGTCTTTCAATGAATCATTTTTCTGCAAATAAGACTTAATTACCATTGCCATCTGATTACCCACTATGATCCCTTTATATCTTGCATACATATATATAGGTTTGAACTAAAATTCAATATATAGTAGTATACACACAAAAAAATGCTCTAGTTCCACTACTGTGCATTTTCTCACCATCTGTACAAATCTCAGCTTCCAGTACCAAAGATATTTGGTCAAACCTTAACAGGATAAATCAGGTGTAGATCAAAAGCTAGACCACCATGTGCAGATTTGGTTTCAGATAAGCATGATGCCACGCTTTAATTAATCAAGTGTGCACTTTGCCATATTTCATATTCCTGAGAATTTAAATGATTTCTTGTTTAAAGGCATGACAACTGTCAGTTTAGGTATGAAATAGCAGTCATAGGACTCAATGATTTTTGTTGAACTTTTTCAAGCTAGTCCTTAACACCTTTCATAATGTTTAAAAAAAATGTTAAGTCCTACCAGGAAAACTGGAGTTCGGACTCAAATATCTCATTCTCAAAAATCAGTTTAACTTTAGGTCACATAAATATTATAATTTGTGGTGAACATTTCAGGAGAGCTAAAATTTGCCAAGGTTTCCCATCACAGCTGAATTATCTCCCCTGAGACACGATCACCAAGGAATACCATGTAGTTTGCCTGGTCACAAAATGTGTTATTGATGTGTTATTTCGTGTTTTAGTTTCTGAATACATTACAACAGACTCATCAGTATACTTCTTGAGTAGGATATTAATACAGTATTATTTACCTGTATGCATAAGCACATTCCCGATTGACATACAAGTATTTATAGTACTATTGTTTCATACTTTGTTCCTGTTTATGTAACTACATTATGCAGATACATTGCTTTACTGTATAAATATTTGGTGAATGCATCCCCATACATAAATCTGTTCGCCTATCTTAGCTGATAATTATAAAGCCCTTGATAATGTTTAACTTATATAGAGGTATACGATTCCATAATGTATTGTAATTCTAGAAGTTAAATTGGACTGACTTTTATATATAATCTGCTGAAAAATACTTCCCTACGACCATATAGAACCACAGAACAAACTCACACACAAGTACATGTACATACGGTAATACACTTTTCAAACAATTTTCCGCCAATAGTCAGATTTTCACACGTTCATACTTTCCTAGCCCGAGTTTTCCTGGCCCCTACACACGATTTACAATTTGACAAATAGATACATGATTTGGTACCAACACCAGATATCTTTCAAAATGTCTACAAAGTCTTAAAAGTCTTCTCCAAATCTAATATTACTTATTATCATTCATTTACTATATCTTAATGGCTAAAATCAAGTGCCAGTTGTTTAATCTTCAGCGTGCGTTCTCTCCCTGGACTGTAGAGTAAATGTACCAGCTGGATTAGGGGCTGTCTTATACATACTGATTACCTTGCCCATGGGTTTGCCAGCTGATTCCAATGCATGTTTAATGGCCACACCTGTGGCCACGCCCACCTCAGCTATCAGGTTGTGACCACATGCATGACCGATTCCCGGGAGTGCGTCGTATTCACACAACACGGCAATGTGTGGAAGGTCATCGTTGTCTGGTACGTTGTGTCCAAACGTGGCACAAAAACTGGTATCAAGTTTGTATTTTCTCCTTACTTCGAATCCTCGCTCTTCCAGAAAATTTGAAATGACATCATGTGCATGGTATTCTTTATAACCCAATTCAGGATGATCCCAAATATCCTGACTCAAAGATCCTAGTTCTGCTGTCAACTTATCTATGTGATCACAAGCTAGTTTCTTCAAGTCGGCCATCTCGTGCTGTCAGCCATTCGGACGACATCAGATATTTACGAAAACTTCCGAATGCAGTTATATACTTTCACTTTCATTTTACATTAAGTAGTTGGCGATTTTGATAGATCTATGTTATTGAGATATTTTTTTTCAAATGCCAATCTTATGTCAATATTATATACGATGGCTCAGGGCACTAAAAGTAAACTAATGACTTATATATAGTATTATAGCGAGCTCTACGGCACATATACACGCGTGCAACTACGTATACCATAGAAGTAGTTCTTTAGACGTAGCGTACTATATGGTTTCATGAGCCCTAAACGTCATTTGTAAAGCGATCTACAATATATATTTACATATCAACATATCAATTGAATCTAGGCTTGGATGTTAAAATTATTGTAATTGAGGTCACCTGTATATGTATACAGCCTCTCCCAACTCGACGATGGTCGATACACGTAGCAGCCTGACGTAAATATGATACAGTAAAACAAGTATGGCACGATGTGTTACACACGAACATCACCACATTAAAACTGAACGAAATGTAAATGTTTAACTATTCGCTGAAATACATTATAAATTCAAAATGTCATTGTGAGTGAAGAGGAAGGGATGGAAATAAGAAGTTCAANGCAAGTTTGACTGTTGTACATACACTATTGTTGAATTCTTTTTCATGAAATGTACTCCCATTGGCAAATTCTCCAAATATATATCTTACTAGAATCGGATTTTGCATGGAGATGGAATGTTCAGAGCTCTAGACTACTGGCGGCTGGGCATATGCAGACCTAAGCTACTGGCGGCTGGGCCTAATTCTACAATTATCTACGCCTTATCGTGTTTGTTGTGCGAACGTTGAGAATAATCGGACATCTATAAATCGCTATAATATACGAGAGAGCATTACTAATCTAATTAGTTCGAGTTAAAAATAATAGTTACACTATTCATAATCTGTTTGAGCCCAGTCAGAGAGGATGAATACCTTATTTCAAACCTTGGAGAAATAAATCACCAATAGATATATGTTAACTCCGACTTTTAGTCCTCAGGAAACACGTGCTCTTTTGAGGGAATCAAGATGGCGACCTGAATGGACGACCCGTAGCTCGGAGGGCNCACGTGCTCAAAATGACCGCAGTAGTGTTTTATACAAAAAGGAACAACAGTCAACTACGGTGCATGTGGGTATGCAGAGGTGTAGCTAAAGACAATGTTTACTGTTGAATTCAAATCCAGAATTTACACATAGTTTGTATAAGTAATTTTGCTTTGAAGCGCCCAGATATGGAACAGTCTACCTAATGAGATACGTCAAAACAATACTCAGTATTTTGTAGACTGCTGCACACCTGGGATGGTGAACTCTTCAAGTGCTCTATATATTCCTGATTCCATTATATATTTTCTGTTGTCCTTAATCGACGACTGTGTTTTTATCTTCTAACCGGTCATGTTACCGGCTGAAGTAAGTGTTAAAATTGCCGTTTTGCATGCTAAAGTTGTTGCTAACAACATGGGGTGGTCTCGATATTTTCATAAATATTTGACAAAATTAAAATTAGATAAAAAAAAAATAAAAAAAAAATGTAGGGATAGAACCCTCCGATAGACAATGGACTGCTGCAAAGCCTTTGTTCCGACCTCAGAGTTCTGTTTAATAGAATTTCAAGTGACGAATGATGAGGGGCAGTTTTATGAACGGAAAACAATAAAAATAGCACCCATAGTCCGTCGGATGAGACTATAGAAAAACAGATTAAAACTAGTACATTTAGGATAGACGGCTCCTTCTCTCCTGTATCATCATTGTCTATCCCTTCACCACATCCTTTATCTATTCTACTCATTCTCTCTATCTTTTCTTCGTCTGCTGGATAACCAGTAACCTTTGCTACCCAGTAGTGAAGCGACCGTAAAACCACTCAAACAAACTAAAAACGACAAGAGGCACAATGGGCCTGCATCGCTCACCTGGTATAAATCTCACACTTGTAACCTCAAAAGTGATCTAAGATAAACCTACAGGCAAAATATCAGTATTTATGACTATAAGTAACTCAAAAGAACCTATTAAAAGATATTAAAACAGTTGACCCTTTTGACCTGGAAAGTCGAAAAAGGTCATTATGTTGAACAAAGTGCCAAATATCACCACCCTAGACCTTTTGTTTATTGAGATAAGGTCATTTAAGATTTATATATATTTGACCAAATGTGACATTTAAAGTGGGTCAAGGTCATTTCAATAGCTCTTTATCCTATCAAGTTACTGGCCAGATATCAATATTCTAGGCCTTATGGTTATTAAGAAGAAGTCTTAAAGTTTTTAACATATTTAACGTCAGCGACCTTGAATATAAGTCAAATTCATTAATTTGAACAAACTTGGTAGCCCTTTATCCTAGCATGCCACTTGCCAAATATCATCATCCTGGGCCTTTTGGTTATTTAAAAGAAGTCGTTTAAAGATTTTGAACAAATTTTATCCCTGTGACCTTGAATAAAGGTCAAAGTCATTCATCCATGTATTTTACGGAACAAATGTCATCATCCTTGGCCTTTTGGTTATTCAGAAGAAGTCGTTTAAAGGTTTCAAACATATTTGACCTCCGTGACATTGAATACAAGTCAAGGTCATTTATTTGAACAAACTTAGTAGTCCTTTATCCAAGCATTTACCTGGCCAAATATCATCATCCTGCACCTTTTAGTTCTAAACATATTTGACTCCTGTGACCTCATCCTCGATATCCAGGGGTTACGCTCAATATGGCATAGCAAAATTGAAGGCTCAGTGTGCGCCACCTTGTTGATGAGACAAGAAGACTAGTTCGATCCTTTGATGTACATCAAAAGAATTTTGCGGTCACGTAACGGTAAAAAATGACAGGCTTTGATGTCGGTTGTCTTTCCTTTGTAAGCTTCAAAGGACAGGTATCGGCCTAGTGATTGGTCAGGTATTTTAACCTGAGACGAATCAAACAGCTATCTTCGTGCCTTCAATTTTGCTATCACATGTTCCAGGGGTGTCGAGAGCGAAAGTGAGCGTAACCCCTGGATATCGAGATTGCGGTGACCTTGAATATGAGGTCATTCATTTTAACAAACTATGGTAGACCTTTATCCGAGTATGCTACTGGCCTAATATCATCATCCTGGTCCTTATGGTTATTCAGAAGAAGATATTTTTTAGACAATTAACCCCTGTGACCTTGATTATGAGTGAAGGTCATTAATTTGAATAAACTTGGTAGCCCTTCATCCCAGCATGCTACTGGCCAATTATAATCACTCTGGGCATTTTGGTTATTCAGAAGAAGTCGTTTAAATATTTTAACATACTTGTTAAGTAATAACGACAGTATGATCCAAAATTTGCACTGGATCCAAACACACAAATATTGGTTGGATGCGTATTACTTAAGTTAATATATGGGCAAAGAAGTAAAAACGACAGTGCAGACAAAGACATCTGTAGAAATTTCAGGGAGATATGCACCTTTATCAAGACAGGAACATGAACATTATATAGCACAGTATATAACAGAGATAAACAGTCACCATGGAACAACAATACAGTACAAAGTACATAGCAAACAAAAGTTACTCATAAAAAAATATGCTGTTGTATATCCCCTTGGTCAGCTTGTAACCGAATGCTGATTATAGTACGTAATTCATCTTATGTGAGGTCAAGTAAATTAATACCAAAAATCTGAATAAATGTAGTAAGAAATATCTCATGTCGTAGTAGTGTAAACACGGCGCTAAAAAATTTCGAGTGACGAGGTGTATCTGTACGTTGAGATACCGGTCTATTACGACATAAGATATTAATTAACACTGCAACTTCACTGCAGCCCTACTTTGTTTGTTTACCTACATATTACAACAACTGAGTATGATACTCAAAATAGAAATTCAGCAACAAATCTTAATGGCTACCGTCATAACTACTAAATCATATTCAATTCTCAAATCACGTTTTCATGTATTTCATTTTATTTCAAACACAAGATGTTCGTGGGCCTTAATAGTTACCCGAGTGAAAATATGAATATTACTTAGCGTTGAGTAGATCTGACGTCAAATGATAAAGGTGTCCCCCAATGTGGGGCATAGTGAGCAAAGAACCTGTGTCTCAAAAATTTGATAGATTATAGATTATGATCATTTCAAAACGTCCAAATCCACCAGTAAGTTTGATCCCTTTCAACCAACGTGAACGTGAGATACACACATAAAAAAATTCGACCGACAAACACTGAAAATACTGTATGATAAACTATTTATCATCTATATACTACTACCCTATATATTTCTCCATTTTTCCAAATGACTTCAATGCCTAATGCTCAACGATATAAGGAATACAATGAACCTTAAAACTACGTAGAATAAATATTTTTAAAACAATCCCATCGTCATTGGCTTTTCCATATGCACATTTACATCTGAATTGATGTTGTTATGCTCTCAATATTTTTCCATAACTTTGTATTGATATGTTTATGACGGACTATTTTCTTACGCGGATCACTTTTGTGTGGACACTATTTCCGGATTCGGACGTCGGTCTGTGCTAGAGAATGGGAAAATCCGTTCTCAAGTTCTTCTCAAGTTGTTTCTGTCATGTATTGCCTCGTCGTGATATAAAAACTCCAGATAAACCATGGTTCAACCGAGATGTAAGCGATTATATAGTATCTACAAATCTGCACTTTTTGAGTTTAATAAATGTAAGTCTGTATATAACAGAGATAAAAAGCGGTATAAATTGTATGAGGCTAAAACGAAGTGCTTGTATTTCCAAATGGTAATATGATGGACACTTTAAGACGTAACGATTAAAAGCCTTTTTACCATAATTTTTCTAAACTTAAACCTGTTCAAACGGGTGACTTATCACTTGATGATTTTTTCAAATATTTTGCAGACTTAATTGGCTGATACCACAGCTGAAACACCATTTTGTTCTGATGAGCATGTAAATAATAATGATTGTCTTTATTCTGAACTGGACGATGAGTTTAGTACACAGAAGTTAGTTACAGCTATAAAGTGTCTATCTAAGGGGAAATCTGCTGGTATAGATATGTTGTTAAACGAGTATTTTATTGAATATCGTGAATTATTTGTACCTTTATTGTTAAAATTATTCAATACTATTTTGCGTGTAGGATATTTCCCTAAGTCATGGGTTGTTGTGTTGTTGTACCATACATAAAAAGGGGACAAAAATAACGTGAACAACTATAGAGGTATAACCATCATTAGTCATTTAGATAAGCTATTCACGTCCCTTCTTAATAAACGTTTACTGTCATGGAGTGAAAATGAAAATGTAATTTCTGGCAGGGGTTAGGGGTCGACTGTTAAATGTCAATAGTTTTATTATACTGTATGCGGACGACACGGTTCTGTTTTCCGAGGACGTATATCGATCTGTAAAGTATGTTTGACAACTTGCATTCCTATGCTGAAATTTAAAGGTAAATGTGGATAAAACAAAAGTAGTAATATTTAGAAGAAAAAAAAACATGTTTTCCCTAATGAGCAATGAACATACAATGGTAGGCCTATTGAAATAGTAGACGATTTTTGTTATCTGGGGCTAGTACTCAATTATAATGGCAGATTTACTTTAGCATTGCTGCCAAGGGTAGAAAAACTTGTTTTTTTTTATTGAAAAGGAATTTTAGGAATTTATGTTAAACTGTGAAAGTAAGTTGTCATTATTCGACACTTATATCACTTGTTTACTTAACTATGCTTGTGAAGTCTGGGGATTATGTCCTGCAATACAAATTGAAAAAATTCATTTGCATTTCCTGAAAGAAGTTCTTGGAGGAAAAAAGTCTTTAAATAATTCGTTTACAGATGTACTGGTTAAAAATGTTGAAAACTGACAAGTGTATTTTGAGATCTTGTTACGATGAGCTTTTCGAATTAAATCTTAAAAAAACAAATTGTAAAACTATTTATTTTATATCAAATCAAGCATGAATTATTGGTTGATGATTGGTTGGCTCAGTGTGTTTCTAATGAAAAACATTTCGTATTTGTATACACATAACGTGTGCAAGATACTTTTATCCAAGAAGTTAGAAGCATTAAAGAAAACTCCTCCAAATGTAGGTTTTATAAATATATCGTAGATCATTATGATATGCAGTTCTACCTCGCCAAGTCACTAACTTTTAAGTGTATAAATATCCTCAGTAAGTATAGGTTACAATCTCATACACTAAGTATAGAAACAGACAGGTATAATGGTATACCTAGAGGTCAACGGCGGTGTCCGCTTTGCAATAGAAATGACGTCGAGGATGAAACCCATTTTATTTAGTTGTGTCCAGTTTACTCGGAGCTTAGAACCAAATATATTAAACCCTATTATTTCCGTCGTCTGTCCGTCTACAAATTAATACAATTATTCGCCTGCAAAAACGTAAAACAATCGAGAAACCTTAATAAGTATCTAATTCAGGCTACTTCTAAAAGAAAGTCTATACTTAATATCTGAGCATTCGTGCATGTTCCAGCTTTGTGCCACTGACAATGACTATTTATTTTCTTTTGTATGTTGACAACATTGCTATGATGTCATCTTGTATCTTACTCTATGTTCTCCGCCATCTTACATAAATGGATTGTAATAAGTACGTGTATGTACATGTATATTGTAACTCCTATATGATATCTGTTGCATTTGGAATTGATCAATCTGTGACCCCTTATGGCTTCTCCCTTAAGCCCATTCGGTTAGACCTTGGCCACGGGCTGATAATTTCAGTCTCATTAAAATCTGACGGACAGTTTAAGAAGAGAGGTTAGAAATGTGATTGGGGTCTTCCCTGAACACCAACTCTGCTTAAAATCACATGTTTACATAGGTGGCCATTTGTGATGATAGTGAAAAATAATAATTAATATTTAGAACAGTTTTCAGAATCAGTCATATATATATTGTCATATATTAGTTAAACTTGTATTTATTTTCAGATTTCTATGATTTGTGTCTAAATTGTGTGACTTAGGTTTGATATTATTATCTGTTATGTTTTAATACAAATACTTCCTCGGCTATCATACAGAATGTTTTTTATCCAAATTTGTAGACATAAAAAGGGGCTGTTGACAAGGTGATCCGGTATCATTTTACTTATTTCTTTTGGTAGCTGAAATATTAGCTATCATGGTAAGAAAAGGGCATAAACATAAATAACAAAGAACACAGGCTCTCACAGTTTGCTTCGACTGTATGTAAGAGCTAAACGCAAAACCTTAACGTTGAGGTTTTTTTCGAAGTCCCGAAATTTGAGGTTTTTAGTCAAAAAAATGCAGAAATCAATGAAATGTTTTTAGTGCAGTAGACTCCACTACCCATGCTACAGCTTTGTCAGAAACAGAGCTAAACGCAAAACCTTAACATTGTTGACGCCGCCGTCGGAAAAGCAGCGCCTATGTGTCTTTCCGAAATCCGTCGTAGGCGACACAAAAACTGACCAAACATTCGAAATAAAGGAAAATATTATACTTTTTGGCAAAACTTCTGAATTCCAAAAATCCATTCCAACTAAAATCATCATTATTCATGCAAAATTCTTCATCTACTTTAGTTCCAGAAAGGTTTACTGTTTATAAAATGTGTATTACTGTTATATGTAGGAATAGAAACTGTATTTTATTGCTGACATTAGTATCAATGTGGCTTAAATTAAGGAATTTTGTTTTTCATATAATGTAATGTTCTTTTTCTTTTTCATATCATGTAAAAAATGATATTTAATGATTATTTTCTTTAACTTAGTGCTGTATTAAATGTGTATTACAGTTATATGTAGGAAATANGTTCTTTTTCATATAATGTAATGTTATTTATTTTTTTCATATAATGTAAAAAATAATATTTAATGATTATTTTCTATAACTTAGTGCTGTATTAAATGTGTAATACAGTGATATGTAGGAAATCAAAACTTTTTATCCATTTTATTAATTATTATTGACTTTAGTATCATATCTACAAAATGAGTTGACATTCTTAGTTGAAACAGGCTTTAACTAAACTTCAAAAGATTTTCTATATAAACACATTCCTTTCAATTCTCCAGAGTTTGAGCCAATGAAAGGTATTTTCTGTTTGTCACTCGAGTGCCCCAGGAGAGTTTAAAGGTCATTTACTAGGACTTGGTGTGACAAAGTAAACGAAATATGTAGTATGCCTGTATTAGCACGGAGGGTTAGCTCAAGATATAAATTGCAACTCATTCTGGATTTTGAACCAAAAGAAACTACCTAGAACGAAAATGACAGGTTTTCAATAGCAGAGTAATGTAATTAAGTAAATAGGGTTGATTGTGTTATTCCTACGTGTCAGTCTTAGACTATTCCGTCTTTGCATATTGCAGAGCTATCTTCTCTTGGGAGCAGGTATTGATTGTTACGTAATTGGTTTGTGTGAAAAAATTACGTCGGTTTCTCAAAAATTGATGACGTCACTCTCACAAACAAGTGACTAAACAATCAATACCTGCTCCCAAGAGAAGATAACTCTGCAATACGCAAAGACGGAATATACATGTCAGTTACCTTTCGTGTAATATTTGTCTCACAAACTCGGGTGTGTTATAAGATGCGACAATGATTCCTTCTCCTGATAACTCCTTGTTGCCGAATCAATATAAATAATTAGGTTAGCATTATAAGCTATATTTAGCAAAGTAAGTGTTCTTCTGTCAATATACCTCCATTTGCGATATACAAACAAAATAATGATTATCATAGTCATTGATTTCATTTCGATGACAGATTTTTAATAAGTAAATATACAGAGTGAATGGTAGTGTTTTACCTGTCATGTCGATATGATATGTACGGTGAGGTACATTTAGAGTTCAATCCCTATATACATATACATCTTGTCTAGGTAGTGAATACCTAATGTCACCTAAGGTTTATCGCACAGCACACGCTAACATGCATGTCATGTATACAGATAACCACTACCGACATGTCAACATCTGCCGATTCATCTTCTCACAATGTCACTAACATATGTACAAATTGTCAACTTTCAAGCTGCAGTGAAATCCTCGTTTATAATATAAACAAAAGCCTTGTCCTTCATTTGTAGGGAGAATTTTCCTAATATAAATGCATGTGTCAACTTCTAGCTGCAGGTTATTCTCGTTAATCATCAGTACGTGTTGTCTTTCATAGTAAAATGGGACCCGACTCATACACAAATATACTATTCACCCTCGTTCTCTATTTTAAACGTTCCTGGCTTTCGTCAAATACTTTCGGAATTCAGTCCTCATTCTTTTCCTGTCACCATATATTGTCGTAGCTTCTTCGCATCATACTGCTCAGTCTTTTCCGTGTCTCCAAATATGTAATTAAATGACATGTTTGGCCTGTATCTACAAGCTTCCGGCGTTCGCCCGTACACTTCCGCCAATTCCCGGAAGTAGTTCGGTGCATTGCCACAACACAGCCCGATATAATTAACCCCGATTGCCTTTGCTTCCTCAGCAAACTCCCGGATTTCCTCCCGACTACACAAACACGAGGCCAGGTTAATCGGGTATGCATATTTACCTGAGAAAGAAATGAAAATCGTGCAATGATAATGACGAATTTATAACAAAGCATACGGTAGAATTACCATCATATCAACATAATAGTCAAAGCTTACAGATCAGAAGAATAAAATAAAAGGTCTATTAACAGTTAGATGAAAACACAGTCAATATCAGAGTAGTTTTATATCAAGTGAAGCGAAGACCAAGTCTATATTAAGTTGAAAATAGGAATCAAGTCCACGCAAAAAAGTATGACCGGAAATCTTGAATATTGTCCAGACCTATATTTGCCTTTAACCTCTAGCGTGTTACATTGTATGTTAAGCTGTGTATCAATATTTGCCGTTTTGATTTGATACTACGGACGGGAAAATGAAGAAAATTGATCTGTTCCATTTCCCTATGTTAATCAGTAGATTAATAGCGGAATCATTACTCGGAATGGTTTACCTGTGTCAGGGTCTTTAAGGGACATGAAGGTCCGACAGTCTTCACGTGTCCTGTACGTTACGGGGAGAGCAGCTATTGGTCCCTTTGGAAAACAATTCAGTATTTAAAATGAGATTTTATTTATTATTTAAAAATGTTTGTTTCTATAAAACGGGTACATTTAACACCTAGCTGTCTAATAAAGACCATGTATTAAGGATTATCACAAGTGTGGAAATATGGATATTTTCAAAACTAATTAATATTTAAGGCCTTCGTCAAATAATAAAGTAGTCGGGAGCCGGGAATATGAAAATAGGAAATATACTGACTTTTGTCTCTGATATTTAAATATGAAAATAAAAGCGTATATCTAATTGATCTCTGGTTGATCAATGCCACCTTTCTTGATATGGACAATTCTTTTAGAAGTAATATAAAGAAATTAAATGTTATGTTCACCGTGCTGCGATTAACCAACTGTTATACATATGTATATGATATGATAAACAACTTATTTAACACATTTTTTAAACAACAGTAATACATGTCTTATTATGAACAACAGCTAAAAGACAGCACTAATATACATCTTATTACGTAACACAACTTTTAAACAACAATTATTCATATCTTATCGTAAACAACAGCTAATAGACAATAATTATATACAAATTATATAACACACCAAGACTAATTGTGCCACCGCGGTCAAACACACATACAGAATACAAAAGCGACAATACACACAAGCAACATAAACACATCGTTAACATATGAAGACAAAATTAGGAGAAAAGACGATGAGAATTGAAAACATTGTAAGTGCTTTCTAACATATCAAACAAGGACCTATTTATAGAACCTTTTTGTCCATGTGTTCCAGTATTCAGAAATGGTGGAGGGAAATACTGGACCTGCCTCCTAAACTTCGGTACTTTTTTTACTTACCTTGCAGGCTTTTCTGATCTCGCGCAAAAGGGGAAGCATGGTCTTTGGGCCACGCCCACAGTTGAGGCCAACAACAGCCGCTCCTAATTCCTCCAGTGTACGGCACGCCTCCACTATTGGCACCTCGTCTGTCGTCTCGTCCGGGATATAGCACGCGAGAGTCAGCACTGCCGGCATACCTAAAGTATGAAGACTTGTGCATAATGGTTTTTGTAGAAGAACAAAACTTCCGCAAATTTTGAAGAACACTAGAACATATCACGTGTTATAGTGAATATTGAGTACTTGTGTTGCTCTGCATTTCTTACAATTCATTGTGGAAATTAACAAACTACGCGTGTCTTACTCTTGATTCATTAATAGTGATAATGCCGGGGAGCTACATAACAAGGACGAGTACAACGAGCAGGATAACATAAGGACATCATATATTTCCTTACTTAAAATACTGCATGGTACGTTTTTTTAAAAGTCATCGTTTGATGGAAATAGTGTTGTTGGAATAACAAATTTCGATGGCGTCCTTTACTAATCCGTATATCTTTTTTATTATATAGTAAAACGTGCTAACTTCTTTTCCAGCATGAAGTATTGTGAGGCGCTGGGCCTTGAAACTTAAACACAAAGACATATTTCAAAAGGAAGTATTGAAAGTTTTTAATAATCCTCACGACAATACAACATATATAACAACATTTATTTAATTACATGTTGTGGTAAGGCATATCATTTCATTAACTGAAAGTGGTAGTGACTGGCCACTGGGAGGTGAAATGCAGCGTAAAGTTTGTAAAATGGAGTAGACTAGAAGTTGAGATGTCAGCGTTTCAATATATTTTGAAAGATTTGTTCGATGATGTGGTTTGTATTTACGTCTCCTTTCAGTTATTAATATACTTGTACATGTCTCATACCATGATAACATGCCAATTCAGAATTTAGGACATGTCACTGTTGAGGGTATAATAGCTTAAGGGGGAAAATGCAAATTTGTATTCTGTTGAATCGGGAAGGTTTGCTTTGAAAGTATCATAATAACGTATACTAGCTCAGTTTGGGATAGTTGAAACCAAAAAGCACTGTCTAGGTAGTGGTGAAAATAAGAGTGGTCGATCATAGCAGCAAGATCAATACGCAAAAATAGGGTAACACTGTGACATTGCAAGAAACCTTGAAAAAAACTATTCCGAAAAAGCCAAGCAAACATTTTATAGCAATTCGGTTGCTGTCTGGTACTTCCTTACCTATGACGTTGTTACAATGTGTATTTCCCCTTGTGTGCATTTCCCCTTGATTACGTGCAGGTCTATGTTAAACAACATTTGGAAGGAATGAACAAACGAATTTCTTCAGTCATTGTACTCATTTCACTTGCACAGATGACGGGCCGATTTGAAAATGATAGTGGTTCAGCGAAAGTGGTGACAGACTAACATGACTTGACCATTGACAATGTTATGTCCTAGTTACTTGATTTTTAAATTCTAAAGAGTGATTGTTTTCAGCTACCTTTCCCGTACTGTTGAATGGTCTCCAGAGCTAGTTTGGCCTCGCCTAAAGAGTCTATCGTCTCAGCTATCATGTAGTCAGCTCCCTCATCCACGGCCCATTCCACTTGTTCCTACAATAAACAAGTAAAACTGTAGCGTCACTAGCTTCTGGCTTGTTTTGATGCGTTCAGGTGATATCTACTCACGTGCTGTGCTTCTTAAGGTCCTAATTAACGTCCCATCAGCTGCAAACATACATGCTCGGTCATATGAATAGCATATATGTACATAGAAAGGCATATCGCACAATTAAAATCAATTTATATTTATTACAATTTATTACAACCACCCGAATGACTGGTGATGAAAAACAACACATCATATCGCCATGCATTGATCTTAAAGTCTTGAAGTCTGGTCTCTCGGTGCTTCACGTCAGCTTTGCCAGCCTCGATGTTATACAATGTAAGGATAAATAATCGTGTAAAGAAGAACATAAGGCATACACATTGCAATTACTTCCATTCACTTCGCAAGTCAATGTAAAGTAACGAGATGAAAATATACTGACGTACAACTCAATCCAGCTTTCGATTTGCCTTTATTCATGACTTCTTTCCGTCCCGGTATGACTGTCTGAAGGAGAAAAGATAATGTCATCAGTTTCTTTTTCTTTCATTCTTTAAGTTGTCCCTGCGATCCTTTTAAAAAAAGGTCGCTGCTGCACTCTGAAATCGAAGTATTTTCCTTATACAGGAATTGTTATTTCAAGTTTATGTTATCTTTTAAAAGTTTATCTTAACTGTTGATAGAACAACATAATATAAAACGTTTCGATGACTGAAGTTTTGTATACACTCTGCCCCTTCATCAAAGGATCGGTAAAGGGTATATTCATTTTGGTGTGAAATGAACGAGATGTCACTCTAGAATTGACAAATCAATTCGGTTGCGCTTCAAGCGCATCTCCACCTAGATGTTACCAATGTATGTACAAGATGAATTGAATCGGCAAATCGACTCAGCAACGCTTTATTTCGTTCCTGATCACAAGGCATTATATGCACAGACGTTCAGGAAGGTAAAGTTGTGAAAATTCTCCAGGACAACAACATGATTTATATGAACAGCCTCAGACCAAACTCAAACCTTTACACGCTTTATAGATGTACTGCCTAATAAAAAAAAACCGGTAACAGTATTCTAGCCAAATACAGATACCTGTATACCACTGTAGAGATCAACCTTACAATAAATGTACACCAATGATCTACAAGCAGGCCTAGAGGAACCAATTGAGGCTTCTTGTGGACTAAACTGGTCCCCTTGTATCTAGTAGGCATACTTGTACCGCTAGCGAGTAAATAAGGACACTTTGTCAACAAGTTTCCTCCGTAGCGATTTAATATACGAAAAGAATTGCTGCCAACAATACAATTCATCATCTAAGATACCATATATCAGCAACTCTTCGGCACAGCTATGGGTAGTCTAGAGTCTACAATTGTGGCTGAGTTGTTTGTGAAAGATCTGAATTCATATCAGAAGAAAAGTGTCTCCAGAGAGACCAGGAAAATATATTGACAACATACTAGAGCTCGTCGAGAAAGGGTCACAGGGGGATTTGACTGACATATCAACACCGTAAATTCACTAACTGTAATACATATACATGGAATATAAATCAACGGCACGATGCCCTTCCTTTACATCCTTCATGTTAGGAAAGATGGCAGAACAGTGAAGGTGTTGATCTATATGAAAAAGACGCAAAGGAACCAAAACACCAATCACCTACTGCACCAGAGCTTGATCGTAGTAGATGATACGACTCTCAAATAACAGCAGAACAAAATGTAAGAGAAGACACGCATCTAAATGAAACGTGCAAATCCAGAATCGTCGCCCAGGAGGGTAAATAAGTAAAGCCAGGTGCCACCCATTGTATATAGTGATTACCTTTCAAGTACAACAAATACAATATTTCCTTGTGCTTTTTCTATAAATGTATATTGTCATACAAGAAAAGAATTGTGAAAAGTCTCTATCGGGAGAACAACGTATCTACCTTATACATGGCCCTGACTTTATCGTGTGTCTCCGGTTGGTCTGGTTGGTACACGCCGGTGTTACAGATCCCTCCAGCCATCAAAGTTCCCGTTTTGTCTGCTACCTCCCGTGCCATCTTCAGAGCCATTCTGTTGAGTTTCTCAAGGTCGTCTTCCCGCCCTATGAATCGGAGCTTTTCCCTGTTGCCATAATACTACAACACACGAATACAAAAAAAAAGTATAACACATACCATCATGTATGGTATATAAAGTATGATACCAAAATATCACGCTTGGTTACATGTTGTTATTTTTCATATTGCATACTGCTTACAAGGCACTATCTAAACAACATAGAAGTATGATCAGAAAGGCAAGGATAGACCAAAACACAATTTATAATATACATTTTTACGTTAAATAACCTTTGTCAATGAGAAGAATAAGAATTATTTGAGTGATATTTAGATGTCTGATAAAGACATCATTTGACTTACCGTGAATGCCTCGCACACGTCAGTTCCGGCATGTACAAACTCCTCGTGCATCACCTTGACCAGTTCAGGGTGTTCTAGGACGACTTCCGGTACATGTGCTCCCTGTTGTATATAGCCTCTTCTCTCAAATTCCCATAAGTATCCCTCCGCGACGAGAACAGAGCCGCCATTTTCAAGCCGTTCAAGTAATCCTGTTAACGAGATAATCCACAGCTATTGTGAAAGACAAGGGTTAATCTTAATGCTGAAACTCATATTATGTGCTCGAACCTAAATCCGTTTTAAAGTAAGGATTATTCATTTATTTTTCAGTAATTGGCCGATTTTTGAGCTGTTGCCTTTGTCATATGTTCCTTGTATACTTCTATCTGTGATAGAAACACGAAGTTCCTAAACATGATTATACTGGCCGAATCCCCAGGCCAGTGTTAAGCTGGCCAGTGAGGCTGACGACCAAACTAACAGTGCATTTTCATCTACTTCTTTGACATCAACGCTGATAGGCTTGTCAGGAAATCAAAACGTTGCCGTTTGAAGAGCCAATCAGCGTTGTCGCATTCCTTCTTTTTATCATCAGCCTTACTACCAGCTTTAATACTTGACTAAGGTTTACGACAGGATATTATATCTGATAATCTACCGAAACTTAAACAGCATATGTGTAGAACATCAAAGAAAAATTGAAGAAAAATTCTTTCCAACCCAACCACTCCCAACTGATATTATAAAACGGCTATAACACAATCGTAGGCTATCTTCAACATGGTAATGCTACTAGGAAAATAGATTTTGGAACCTTGATAATATTTCTGGGAGACACGCAAGGACATGATTAATTTAACTAACGCAATGAGTCGTTACACAGCCGACCCGGAGAAAACAGTATAATACAGGTTGCGAACATGTCATCATAATTTCTTTAGTGTTCCCCGATTGGTAGACACATGTTGAATATTACCTCAGTAAAAAATAGCAAGAGGCCCAGAGGGCCTGAATCGCTCATCTGAATATAATTAAAGTAATTGGTATGAAGTAAAGATATAGCACTCCATGGTAGATGCTGTTAGTACATATGAAATTTCAGAAAGATCCATCCAGTACTTGAGATATAGAGAACAAACTTCAAACAGAGCCCCACCCCTATGCCCCTACGGGGGTCATACCCACCAATTATACAAAATTGAGTCACCGTCACCCAAGGATGATCCACACTAAATAAGGATAAAATCCCTTAATCCCGATGGTCGGAGAAGGATTTTAAAGGTTTTACCTCTATTT